TTCCGCGCGCGAATAGAAAGACAGCCAACCGGGGGCAACTACGATGCCTGCATGTTTATCACACCCAATATGGGCAGCAACCATTTTGTTGATGGTCACATTTTACACCGGGATTGGAAAACGCGGCCTGGAGTGGGGTGTCGAACCTGGCTCGACACCGAGCGATTCTGCAGGCCCCTGGATGCGCAACGCATCACCTTCCGCATGTATCGACAGACCAGTGATGCATCCAGTGAGTCTTCAATGTGCCCCGCGACCCCACTTTTAGGGTCAGAAAGCTCCACGGACTGTTCGTGACGAGTGCCGTTCACTCTGAGACTGGAAAACGCAGCCTGGTACGGAGATGCGATGCCAACACCTGACCTTCCATAACAATCAGTGAATATGCGATAAGTTACGGGATTTCTTCATTGTGCCCTGTATCCGAGGCTTGGCTTGAGGACTACAGATGTTTACGGTAGCGACTCTTTGTTCTGCGAGCTCGCGTATCCCAAAACGAAATGTGCGAATCAATTCCCATTTGGTTTCTATCAGACTCCCATACCATCACATTTGATATTTGAGACAAAGGCTGCAACAGATCAGATTTTCAAGGCTCTTACCTTCTTGCGGAAGATATGAACTGGTTAAGACAACAACTGAGCGTCGCCCGTCAACATGAAGGCACCCGATGTTGCTTGCAGGCCTGGCGAGAGATCAATTGCGTTGCCGAAAGGAATTCAAAGGATAAGAGACTATCAAAGCCCAAAGGCTGAACTGTGGGGATAAAATCCTAAGATTTTGTGCTTTGAATCTTAAGACAATTTTCTAGTCGAACATTTGCTGTAGAGATTGCAATACAAGATGAACAGGCTTTTATTTCACGCTGGTATTTTGAAGTAAGGAAAGTCGACGAAGGGGGAGAAAACGGAGGCAAAGAATTCAAGGCGAAGAAGGTGTCACCGATTTGATCTGACAGAGAAATGCTGGTGCCACGCCGTCGCCGCGTGGATGTATCTTCTAATTTCGTTGCTGGTCATTCATACCACATACGCTTCTTTGCCGCAATAATACTCCGCTATCAAAACAGTGAATCCCATTGCATCTTTCAAAGCTCCAATCGACGCCCCGGGAAAATATGTGGAACGAACACTAGGCCACGCAGTGTTCGTCTGTCTGCATCCGTATCTCCAACCTCTGCTTCGAACTTGGTATGGGATGAATACCAAACCGTGTAGCCAGTAAAACCAAGGGCAAACCATGTTGGGTGTGATGTGAGACGAGAAGACGATTTCCCAGGGTTGAAAGGTGAACCAGGCGTTGCAGTATTGAAAGACTGCATTGACTGTTGTAGAAACGAGATGGCCGCTGATCATGTCTTCCGCTCTTCCGCGAGGGCAAGAATTTGCGGCGGTAATGAAGTTTGCGCAGGGACACACCCAGATGTGCCTGGTCCTACCGCACATGGTGTCTCGCTTGGAAGAGGCTGGACTATGGTAGATGGATGCTGGTACCTTATTTCTTTCAGTTGTGCGACTCGTCAAAGAATTATAGAATGCGCGGTCTGATGAAGCAATGTTTGTGATCATGAAGTCGTTGGTTTTGAAGTGGCGGGAGATGAAGGAAGGACGAATGCTGGTGAAGGAAGAGGGGCCCCTTGTTTCTCCCCCCTTCTCGGCACCCTCGTGTGGCTTGCGTGCGGCAAGGTAGGCGCCTGCCATACCCAATTGTCATCTTCCTGCGCTCTCTACGTTGTAAGTGCCCTCCACGTTCAAACAGCTACTGTCACCTTTAGCTTGAGCAAAGTGCTCAATAAGGTAAGGGTAGCTATATCTATCGCACTTGCTCAGTAGGACTTGAGGTAGGAGGGCAGGCGCACTTAGAAAACAGGCATAGGCACCAGCCACAGGCGATGCCGAGAAAGAGCTCCCAAGTAAGATGACCCGAGCGAAGAAGGGCCAAGCTGGAGATGAAAGGAGGAAGGTGGCTCGCAATGATAGGAAAGGCACCTGCTGTCGGGGCGACGCTCAACTGGTGCAAGAGAGACCGTCTCAACCGCATCGCATTGGCATACAGCCCCCGATGTGCTCAATGAAGATGATCCGGAAAGCTACGTCTCGCTGGCATCTGATCACGGGTTGAATGTCCTTTTGGCTCAGAGAGTCTATGAAACAACCCAGTTTTGCTTTGGTATCACGATGCGATCGCTTTTCCACGTTAAAAATTGTATTTCGATGGGCAAAAGTTTGATACGTGTAGTGTGCCAGCAAAATGCAAAATGCTAGGGAAACTTGAAGACTACGTCATGTCTCATGTTCCTATCAGAATTCAACGGACGGATCTTCGTTTATATATGAGGTTCATAGCAAAATCAATCTTCAAATCTGCCATGCTTATCCAATGCAAATCATTCAAACGACCTCCTGCGATGTCGGGGCGAGTTGCGCGTCGGGCGCAGTGACATTTCCGACCTAGAAACTCCCTTTGCGAGTCGGAAATTCACGAAGATGGCAGTGGGAGATGCTGGCGAAGCAATCTCTACATGTTCTGTGACCTAGAGAACCGTCAGTAAATCGTGGGAAACCAACGCGGCTCACCGTAGACGAGGACACACCAGCTGCTGATCGAGTCCTACAAGCAGACCTGGCATGTGGACTCGCCGGCCTGGTAGTTGAGTCGAACATTCTGCAATTTGCCGCAGCAAGTACCACGATTGTCGGCAGAAGACTGGCAAGCGGACTAGTGAGGGTAGCGAAGGATCTCCAGCGGACCTTAGCAGCGGTCAGACATACTTGGCTACACCGGATGAAGATGCAGGGCTTTTCGATGTTCGGCTTGGCCAGAGTAGAGCTTTGGGCTTAACAGGAAGTCGACGTTGTACTTAAGGTATGGTGAATAACGCGACTGCGATGGCTGCGGCAAACAGGGGCTGGCTGGGCCCTCGCAAGGGATGACACCTGAGCAAGCCCAGACCTGACTCTCTAGCTGGAATACGCAGTATGAGATTGCCAGCGGGAATTACTAGAATGACTTAATATCGAGAAAATGCGGTCTCCACATACGGAGTATGCCGGCGCGCTGACGATGTCTTCGCATCGACAGTATGGCAATCTCAGGATGATGGGTGGTAAAACGAACAGCTGGCTTGCTTAAAAACTATTATTTCTTGTGCTGGAGATTGTTGAGGAAGACATGCAAGAAAACAACCAAAGATTTACATGAGATAGCCATATACTGACGAACCTTGCGTGTATTCTGAATAGCGGCCCTAATCTTCGTCCATATTTCACAACTTTGGTCCCCCCTTACTCGCATCATCTGGACTTGCCGTCTTGTATCCGAACAAATAAGCTGCCACCTTCCGCATTTGAACTTCTTCGCTTCCTTCGGTGATTCGGTATCGTCTGAAGTGCCTCCAGATGTGTTCGAAGGGCAAATGTCGCGAGTATCCATCCCCGCCATGAATCTGAATGGCTCGATCGGCTGAGTCGCACGCCAAACGATTCGCAATGTAGTTGCACATTGCAATTTTGTGACCGAGCTGTGTTTCGATGGCAATCCAAGGCGCTTTCCCTGCCGCTGTGGCCTCGGCGCTGACTTGGTCCATCTCTACTGCCGTCCGCAGGATGAGAAGCCTGAGCATCTCCGCTTGGGATGAGAGTTCCACGAGGGGCCACTGAATAGCTTGGTTGGCCGCCAAGGGCTTCCCGAAAACCTTTCGGCGGTTTGCGTGTTCAACACTTCGATCAATGCAGTATCGCGCAGCGCCGCAACTTGACGATGCCTGCCGGATCCTGTTCTCGTGGGTGAAGGTCTGCGCGATCGCCAGGCCGTTGTCAAGTGGCCCAAGAATGCATGTTGCCGGTACTAGAACGTTCTCGAATATCACTGTGGCATGGTCGGTTGGCATATTTAACGTCCACTCGAAGGAGGCGACGGTAACTCCGGGTGTATCGCGAGGTACCAGAAAAGCCGTGATGCCCCGCGCATCCCCAGCCTTGCCGGAGGTTCGGGCGAAGACTAGACAGTGGTTTGCGGTGTGCATCCCTGTTTGCCACTTCTTGTTGCCATTGATCATAAATCCTGGTTCGCCACTTGGCAGTTTGGTTGCATGGGCTGTCGTATCCATATGTGTAGCATCAGAGCCATGATGAATTTCTGTGAGTCCGAAAGTCGCCCTCAACTCGCCTCTAATGCTCGCGGGGATCAGTTCCTTCTTCTGTCTCGCAGTACCATAATGATGCAACATGATAATGAATGGCATGTTGCCGACGATGCTATGCTCGCTTTGAAGGTCGTTTGCCAGGCTCACGCCTCCCCCATACATAGGATGAGATGCGAGATGATATCGCACGGCGCACATGTACAAATTCAGCGTTTCGACACCTGAGCCGCCATACTCCTTCGGACATGCAAAGCGATAAAATCCCGCCTTGTCGGCGATTTTCTTGGCTTTGTCGAGTAACGCCTCCCAGTCTTCAGTCGGCAAGCCTTGATTGTCCCATTGAGTACGTGAGGCCTCGCGACGATGGTCGAAGAAGCGATTGTTGTCATTTTCGTCTTGCAACGGAAGAATGGCATCGTTTATGAAAGCGTCAAGTCGTTTTAGGTAATCTCGCACATCCTTTGGAAGTTCGAAGTTCATGACGAGTAGTTGGCAAGGTTGCAGTGCGAGATCCTGGATGATTATTGCAAAACATGTGTTGGAACCGTTTTCGAAACACCGTGATCGTGTTGAGGTTTGGTCTCTTCTAGGGATCAGTATTACAAACCTTTGGAATTCGGAGCATGAACGTCTATGATTCTCGACTCAGCAGATGAAGATCGCTGACGTCGGCACCCGAGGGCCCTCGGCTTGTTCGAAACCCCGCATTACGGCATCCCCACACCCCCGCACCTCCGTATCCCGGCATTTCGCCTTCTCAACAACCCGGGAGGGTCAGGTATTCGAGAAAACCCTTGGGCTTTACTTGCGTCTATCAGCTGTTCTTTGATTCAAGCGGCTGTCTCTCATCAACGCCATGTCTTCTTCCGGTTCACATCATGATGTCGACAGCGAGGCCCTAGGAGAATACCTTCGCAAGTCAGGAACGATACCGGGTCTTCAGCTACCGATCACCACAACCAAGATTGGATATGGCCAGAGCAATCCAACCTACTTTCTTGATGATGCAGTGTTAGTCTGAGATCTGAAATGCTTCTGCCTATCCTTATCATGGTCATAGCACGCTAACAGGGAACGTGTTTTCTACGCGAAACAGCGGCGAAAGGTTCATCTTGAGAAAGAAACCTCAGGGCCAGACAATTAGTCCAGTAGCACATCAAGTAGACCGCGAGTTCAGGGTTATTCAAGCCCTTGGTTCTGTTCCCAACTTTCCCGTGCCGCGGGTGTTCACCCTGTGCACTGAGCAATGGGTCATAGGAACCTCGTTCTATGTGCGTTTGTTACCCATCAGCTCAGATATTTCAGACTGATCATGCGGGCCTTGTAGGTGATGGAGTGTGTGAAAGGAAGGATTCTCACCGACGCCAGTCTGGCAGAGCTTTCACCATCCGACAGGCGCAAAGCGTGAGTCCCTGCAACTTAAACACTTGCCATCACAGGTTGACGAGATGACAAAGCTGGTTTTCCGCGACAGAGACCCTAGCCTGGCTTCACTCACTCGATCCGGATGCGATCGGTCTGGAAGGCTACGGCAAGAAGTTTGGTTTCTACTCTCGCCATTGTAACACCTGGAGCCGTATAGAATCTCAACAAGCTGCGGTCAAGGACAAGAAGACGGGTGAGCTTCTTGGGCGGGCTCACGAGAATTATGATGATATCATGTCCTACGTGAGAGAAAACCTCCCCGGCGAACGATTTGCCATCGTCCACGGCGATTTCAAATTTGACAACTTAGTAAGATCTCATTTTCTCAGGATACGAAGTAGCGCTTACGGCTCTGACTTGTTGTAGATACTTCACCCTTCCGAGCCAAAGGTAATTGCGATCCTCGATTGGGAGCTATCGACAATTGGGCACCCGCTCATGGACCTCGTCTACTTTATGAGTCCATTCTTTGATGACCATATCACCCCCGGCCAGTCAATAATTGGCCCTCCTGAATCGCTTAGGCCAGAGCATCGAAAGTCTAGAGGCATTCCAGAGCCAACGGAGCTCCTGGATCGCTACGCAGAGATCGTTGGCTTCGATCCACGCAAAGATGGCGGCGGAAGGGACTGGGAGGTTGCAGCAATTTTTCATTACGCTCGCTCTGGGACCATCAGTCACGGTATCCAAGCACGTACCATGAAAGGCCAGGCCAGCAGCGAGTTCAGCCATATTTATTTCGAGAATACGCACAAGGCATTGGATAATGCCTTCAAAAGGGTACAGAGATTGAAGGAGGGGAGAGGGCAAGGGCAGAAACTTTAGGCTTAATGGTATACGCCGTGTCACTTTCCCGCGCAACAGTTGATTGTTGTGGTCCAAAAATCGACCAAGAGCATGCGGTACGTTAGTATTCTACGGTTTCCAAGGTGCCATTTAGCCGCACACCGTGTGGATCGAGGATTTACGACCCAAAATATCTTGATACGTTTTCAGAGCCTCGTCGTCCCACGTTATCGCGCTCTGGATGGCCAGAGTAACTGTCCCCTGGTTCAATAAAACAAGGTTCATAGTGTATATCTAATTCCAATCAAATGTTGTGGCTGTTCGGAACATAAATCTCGCGCAGTCGTCTGAAGTAGAATCTCGGCAACCGTACTCAGGTACTTCTGCACTGACTGGTTCAGCTCTAGGCCCCAGCTCATGGTTCTAGAATTCGTCTTCGCATCCATGTTGGCAGCGCTTGATGCTGTAACCTGGGCCGAGCCACTTCCCCGTTGCTCTATTGGCTCGAGGGGCTGACGACGCTGGCAGTTTACTCTTGCAGTGCGTAGGCTAATGCTGAAGTCATGAGGTCTAGATCTCGATTCTGCATATTATGCGAATCCCCATCACGATTTCAGAAGTTGGTTTGGAGTCGAGTTGTCCAACAAGCGGTTCCCAATAATCTCAGGGGCATGCTATCGAAGTGGGTTAATCCCTCCTCGGCAGATCCGCCCATGGAGTGGTGGCATAGAGCTGTGCACACATGGTAAGCTTCCCGTGAAAGTCAATCTCAGCTGCCTATCTATAATCTTGCCTCTTAAACAAACTCTCTTGTTTTTCCCCACCGACTTGAAGCTTGACCTGAGTCTATTTTCTGCTTGGCATTCCGAGCCCGGCTTCTGGGATTTCGTCGGGAACATCAAACTCCTCCTGGACAAGGAGTACAGTTCTTCATGATACCACTGCCGTATACGTTGGATGACGGATTCCTTCTCCATGTACAAACCAGATCTCAGGAGCATCGTTGATGGCGAGTTATTGATACTTCAGACAGCATATGCTTGGACACGGATGCACAGTCACCATTGAAATTCCGGTACCTCGTTTTCTCGCTGCAATTGTTTTCTCCAAATACTTCGTCATGCCGATTCCCCATCACGGACCTTTTCAAGATTGATAACCCAAAATTCATTGATGGTGCATTGACTCCACGTCTGTACTGAACTCAACTGATAATTTTAAACTAAACGTTTTTCTGTCCGCCTTGCCCATCCCAGCTTCAGCCATCCCATGCGAGGCGTTGCATCACACCAGTTCGCGATGCTGCCCTGGCGCGCTTAGTGGCCGTGGCCGTGACGATCATTGCCCCTCAGCGCCTACAGCGCTTGTCAGTATCCTGCTTGATTGAAGAAATTGACAGCAACACTCACGGCCTTTTTGTTGTCTTTGTTCACATTGATACCGTCGTGAATCTCATGATTGAGTTTGTTCAATGTTTTCTTGTCATTTTTTCCCCCGTTTAGAGACGAGGCTTGTTTGTACTCCAAGGCTTGGGCTTTCTCGACCTGTACGCAAACAGTCAATATTCGATATTCGACATTCGCCCACTAGCATCAGATTCATGATGTTACAGTACCTTATTGAGGCCTTTGACCAGCTTCCTGTTGGATGGATCGGCGGTATGCTGGTTCCTTTCTCGCTGTCTCTGTCCTGCCCTGATATCGGCTTTGAGCTCACCCTGTTCCTTACGGAAGTTCTTCGTCCCTTCAGCCTTCCTTACATCCTTGACTTCGTGCAGCTCCTCCTTTTGTATGTGGATGTTCTTCTGGATTCCCTTGGCCGTAGTCTTGGAATTCTTTAGACCGTCTCCCTTCCTGTTGGTGGACCTCTCAAACAAGCCATCCAAAGGCATTGGTAGAGGCACAGCAACAACCAAGGAGACTAGGAGGAAAAGAGAGAGGAAGAGCCGGGAGTAATGCATATTGAGGGGCTTGTAGTAAAGTGCTGCGCCTGAATACGAAGCGAGATAGGCAAGTAGGTATGTATTGAAAGGGGGTTTGATGATTGAATGTTGAGATTGAATTGCTTGAAGAAGTGTGAGAAGCTGGCGTCGACAGCTGAAATATATAGATCTTGCGATTGACCTTCAAGATGGACGTTCACTAACATTCTTGGTACTAACAGGCAGCATGTGGGCCTTTCGCGAGGGATCTTTGTAATGATCCGCCATATGAAGAAAATGCCCTGGCTTGAGAAGCCGCGATGCTTCTGTTGGTTATCTTGCTCCTTCGCGAAGAAGCTTTTCATGTTCCCACATGGAGGCCATCGCACGATGCCGGACCTCATCTGAAGTCGGGACCTGTCTAACTTTCTGACAAGCTTTTCGATAACCCAGCCTTTTGGAAAGCTTTCGGAGTAATTCAAGACGAGGAAGGATTAGGCGCATCAGTTCGTTAAGCTAGATCTCCCTTCTGTTCCTCGTTGTCGGTCGACTTTGAGCACCGTACTGGCCGGAAAAGGATGTCGTTTCGCTAAATCTCGATGCCTTCCCTCCGGAACCGACATGATCAGAAAGTCACTCTGGTTGAAGAATCTCGATTGTAGATGATCCCACATGTGCACCCGGTAGCGATCCCTTGTATTGGAATCACGTTGCGTGTTCTCCTGGTCTAGGCCCCGGGCTTGAAATGAAGATTCGGACTCTTTCAGCTGTCTCGTTCATATCCCACTGAATGAAGTATGTAACATCATTAACTACAGATTCGTTGAATTAGGGTCATTTTAAAGCCAAGTCGCCTAAGAAATAAATTACTGTACTATTGCATGCACTGGCGTCAGATGTAGGTTTTAATTACCATCGCGATAAACCACTGAGATTCACCCGCAATTGCTTAGCACATTTTCTCATGGGTCAACTTGAACATATCGTGGCCGTGGAAGGGGCTGGTTGATCGTCGATTCAAAAGTATTCTTTTCGAACGCAACAAGGCAAAATGGCTTGGTAAAACACTAGTGACAACTTTAGTAAACACGACTGATTAGAATAGCAGAATCCGCGAAGTCCAAAAAGAAGCTGAAGTCTCGACCTTAAGGAAAACCTTTTGACAGCATCTACCACCGGGTAGTTATGACGCAACTGACTCCATATTCTTTCGAGGTGCAGCAGATCGTGATCGGCGGGGTTGGAGGAGTCGAGAGTGGAACAGCGCGGGTTTCTCAGGGCCATATCCAACCCAATCCAACCAGGAAAACAAGGAAACCTGGTGTTAGGATTGGCTGAGATCATCTAGATTTAATAAAAACGAATCCGAAAGCACACCACTCGCGGCTTCGAATACCCTATCAGGCATGGGGCCGGCCTCCATCTTCGTCCGCGTCGCCGCTAGCGGCCGGTGCACGGAGTATGAAAGTTTAAGCTTACTTACCAATTCGCGCGAAACCCAATGAATGGTGCCGGTATTTTGAAGTTTGTCGTTCAGTCATGCTTTGGAGTCAAACTACTTTGGGCATGTTGAAGGATTAAGGTTTCCGAGCTCTGGTTGGCAACATCCTGATGGCGGGGTAAGTCGAACAGCCGGAGTAGATCATTGTCGAGATTTGAGTAAGTGGATACGAGATGTCTCCAGCGTGGCAGACTGAGTGTCGTCTGAATGTACCCTACTCAGGTTCGTCGTCTAAACAGGCGCGTCAAGAGGACCGCTGTCAAGCTTGTCAGTGTTACACAAAACCCCTCAAAACACCAGTCGATCATCCGGTGACCAGCTGTTCCCGTGCAGTCCCGAGATGTGTGAAGCAGTTCATGAGCTCATCATCTAGATTGATTGTGACCCGTCAAACTAACGCCTGCGAATCAATTGTTTGCTCCTTCTCTTTCCAGATCTGTTCTAGACTGTTTCATGCAGGTTACCCGCTAGGAACCATGTCCTCAATTGATCTCTGGCGCTTTGCTCCTTGCTCAGTCCACTTAAACTGGCCGCGGGACCCTCGGACGGCGGGCGGGCGTACCTGATCGACAGATCCCATTCCCGGGACACGGCGAGTCATGACCGAAGCTGAACAGTCGTGTACGAGGAACAGATCTGACGAACGATCGTTGATGCAACTGAATACAGCGATGATAGACGGATGGAATGGAATGTCCAGGTTGCCAGTGCCAGGATCATGCGCGTCGGGCAAAAAGTCCCGATGAAAAGGCAAATGCCTACCTAGATGCTCATGGAGGGGGTCTCCCGAGCTCGGACACATCCGACGGGGTTGTCTGGTGACCATGGACTTTTGCTTCTCGAAAAAGTAAACTTGAAGCTTGATGGAGATGACAAAGCAATTATTCTTCTTCGGTTAGAAGTGAATCCCAGGCGATTCAGACGCCACAAATCTAGCTCCTGCCAATCCTAGGCCCCAGAGTGATCACGCCTCTCCAGTCAAATAAGTTTGCATAGGTAGGCAGGCCAAAAGGGCGAACCACTAGCACTATTGCCTTTTTGGACATAACACCAATTCATGCATGTCGCTACACGGGCAGTTTACCGCCTGTCATCAAGTTCGCAGGGATTTGGGTTTCATTCAAATTTGATCTTCGATTTACGGGGAGCGACGTCTACCTCTTAGACACAACGCCCCCTTTGAACACTTTACAGTGTGCATGTGCAAGTTTAGGCTTTGTTCAATGCTGAAAATATGATTTGTGCTTCCACTTGGCTGTAAAAGACTGTAGGATACGGCAGCGAGACGAAAAGGGGAAGCATCCCTTTGACTAAGATTAGTCTTGAATGTCTTGAATTGGGTACGTGGTGTTCTACCTAACTATCAAGATGGGAGTGACTGAAAATGTCGAAAGTCGTGATTTGCAACACAATCTCTACCAGCAACGCCTTGTGAAATATTCGCCAGACCTTTTGGCTTAAGAAACATTTCGCCGCCACAATCTTCGGCAGTCAAAACGCCACGTAACTAGCGATGAAAATACCATAGAAATATGGACTCGTTGGCCGTATTCCTCTCTCTCAATCTAGACGTCATGTTCGTTGTTGACTTCTTTCTCCCCTTCATTCTCCATGACGTCGGGGACACTCAGACGGACAGTTTTGTCTGCGAGATTATTCTTCTTCGGAGCAGCGGGAGCAGCGAGACCAGCCATTTCGATATCTTTGCCACTTTTCTTGACGCTGAATGGAAGCCTGGATTGAACAGACTGCCGCGGAGACTGTCCTCTGATGTGATAATTCCTCCAATCAGCCTCTCGACGAGGCTTCCTCAATCCAGCGCGGCGGCGCTTGTCGACAACGAAGCCGTAATTGTACGCCGTTCTAGCTGTGTCATCGGCAAAGTATTTGTCCCAGTCCCAGTCTTGCTTCTTGACCTTCTTGTCGGAAGGAACGGAAATCCTGAATCGGGAAGTCTCGGGGAATGTAAGGGGCTGGCCCCTAGGCTTGTTCAACGTAGAGGTGCTGTCGATTGACTATTCTAAGCTGAAGAAGGAGGAAAGGACTTTACAGGGATAGGCGCCTAGCAGCAGTGATGCAGACCGGGGCTAGGCGGTGTGCTACAGCAGAATAGTGGATCCGGCGGAGCTGGATCTCAGTAGCTGCTCCGGCAAAGCCGGAGATCTCGGCCGGGCTCTAGCCCGTTACAGGGAATAACTTCAAGAGGTGAACAGCTTCCATCTGCGCATCGTTGAGGGCAACCGAGCCGGCATCTCGAGCTCTGATCCAGACCACATCGGGGTCTTCCAGGGTCACATCGACGACGAGAACAGAATCAGGCTCGTCGCGGGGCTTAAAGGTGGTGGCGAACACTAGATTGCCGAGGTTAGACATGGTCCTATTCGAGGAGGGGAAGACAGGGCAGTACCGTCAACGTTCGGAGGAAGCAAGTCAATGAAGGTATTGCGGCCAGGCGCGGGGAGGAGGCGGGGCTTGGCGCTCTTGGATTTCCGTCTGACATGGGCAATGTCGGTGCTTGGGAATGTGACCTGGATCCAACCCCATGTCTTGGGGTCCTCTCGTAGGAGGAGTGTAATCTTGACGTCCTTGGACGGCTCAAGTCGGAGGTGCTGGCCAGAAGCGTCGGCCCACGAGATTGACACGTCGGTCAGACGGCGCTCCTCTCCCTTGGCCATGTCAAAAATGCCTTTGCCTCGTATCGGATGCACTGGGAGACTTGAAGTCGAAGGAGATCAGTACGCCATGTGTGGGATGATGCAGATGGGTTGAAGAGGTTGAAGTTGGACAGAAGAGGCCCGAGATCTGGACCGGAAGGCGGGAGAATTCTGCCACCTTCCAGATTTTGCGGTGCTTCTGCCTAAGTGTAAAAAGAAAACTGCAAAAGAAGGAAGGTGCGATACGATGGGGGAAGGATCAGGTGAGGCACCTGCCTCCCACTCGCTCGAAAGGCAGGAACCGGCGCAATGACAGACGCCCCTTCTGTGTTTGGCTTAATTATGTCGCCCTGGCTTGACTCCAGAGACAAAACGCCGTTGATATGGTTACTGGGAGGTTCCATTTGAATCTTGCTTAAAGAGGGAAGTCCGGAGGCTCAGAGGAAAGGAACAAACTAGCAGGCATTCATCCAAGTGAGACTGTGAGCGAATAAGGGTCTTCATCATGATGCCATCTTTTACTTCAATGTTGGTCCAAAACCCAAATGTCGACGGGAGTCTTCAGAAATTAGGAGCTTTTGATATTTATTATGGGGAGTTATCCAGATATTTTCCATGCAGTATGTATGGAATGACGAAAAAAAGCTGATAAATGCCGATTAAACGTCCCCGCCACTCACCGCAGCAGCTTTGCCTGCCCTCCGACCAAAGACAGCACCCGAAGTCAGCCCACTGCCTCCTGGATAGTTCTGATAGAACAGGCCTCCCATCATCTCACCAACGCAGAATAATCCCGGGATGGGTTTCCTTGTCGTGGCACTGATTAGCTGCGCATTCTCAGCGTCCACTTTGAGCCCACCAAAGGTGAACGTCACTCCGCAAGTTACTTTGACAGCAAGAAACGGACCCTTATCCACAGGAAGTGCCCAGTTTGTCTTGGCCAATGGCAGTTGTTTCGTCGAAGATTGTGTCGAAACGCCGTCTAAAACAGAAGGATCCCACTTCGCCGATGGACTTTCGTGCTGAAACGCATATGCTGCAGAGTTGTACTCGTGCAAAGTGCTGAGGAACTTTTCACGATCCTTGAGTCCATTCGACGATAAGATGTCTGCGAGCTTTTCGATCGTTGCCGCTTCGAAGCGGTTATCTTTCAGTCTCTCTGGGCGATACTCTTCAGATCGAAGCCACGGTGTCGTTCGGGCGTCCCAAATCTGGAAGGCGACGTGATCCGGCTGCTGAAGAATGGCACGGCCAAACTTGGCATACGTGTAGTTTCTCATTGCAACGCCTTCGTCAACGAACCGATTTCCTTCGACATTGATCATGAGGCCTAGGGGGTATCCGGACTTGGTGTACTCGTTGGATGCCTCGCGGTCACCGACCGACGGATCCGCATTTGCATCCCAACATGTAGCATGGCACCCGGACCAGTTGCCTACGGGCAAAGCGTCGAGATCCCGAATAGCCAGCTCAATGCAATCCCCCATGTTATACGGAGTCCCGCGGACCATTGCCATATCCCACCCAGGTCCAAGATACTGACTACGCATCCGTGGGTTCGACTCAAAGCCACCTGCTGCGAATACAATCGCATTTGTTGAAATGACCTGCTCCACTCCTTCGTGAAGAACCGTAGCCAGATAGTGATGCTTCCCATCCTCGGTCTGCCGTCTGACCCCTTTCAGCCCAGTACCCCAACAGAGGAGCACACCACTGGCTTTGGCCGCAGCTAGATGATCCGCGATGAGACCCTTGCCTCCGTCCTCGGTCTTGAGACACAGCCCGCCCCAGAATTTGAATCTCCCGTCAACTTCATATGCCTGGCGGTTGAAAGACAGCTGGAACCGAATGCCATGGTCTGCCAACCACTTCATGGTAGACCGTGAGTCCGTGATCAGTACTCGAGAGAGCTCCTTATCCGAACGTCCGGCGCAGACGTTTTCCATGTCTTTTGCAAAGTTCTCAACCGTGTAAGGCGCCAAGTCAATCTTGGTTGCCTTTTCGCTGTCGACGTTGTTCACGATCGGGAGGACATCGTCGAGGCCGTCGTGGACTGTACGGTAGGCGCCGGCGGTGAAGTACGAGTTTCCTCCGACCCATTCTTCGGGACATTTGTCAATTAGCAAGACAGTCGGTTTTTCTCCGGCGGGCGGCTGCGTTTCAGCGGCGGACAGAGCGGCGGAGAATCCTGCGTTGCCGCTGCCGACGACGAGAACGTCACATTCAGTGCTGGGCAGAGGCATGACAGCGACGTGAATACGAAGTGCTGGGCGAAGACGATGATTTGAAACCGAATCGTTAGAATTGCGTTAATTTACCGTCAAGGATGAAAAGTGATTTTAAGCAATGGAAAATTTGTCAAAAATAACATTAAATGTTCCCGAGACGGGAGTGAGTCCGTCGTCACTCCCGCGGGAACGGGGAGTGGCCCCTCATGCGGGGGAGCGGGGGAGGGGCAACAGGTTACTGCACTTCGGACACATCCGCCGGGTACGACGTGCCGATGTCCGGACGTTGACCGAAGGCGTGCTCGAACATCGTAAAGTTTGCAACTGCGGCGATGGAATGGTAGATTGAAATAAAGAAATTAGTGCAATTGAAAAAAAGGGGATGTTCATGACGTAATGTATTCATGTGATCAAGGACGCGGATGCATCCGCGTGGCAACACAGCACTATCGACATTGTTGAGACCGCTACACGGTCTGCTGAACTGCCAGGGAACTTAGCAGACTCTGGCTTTGTGCTCCTGATCTAGGCTGTTGATTGTTGACTTTGGCGCGTGCGCAACTACTTATCGTTCCTGATGATTAAAATTCTTCTCAATACGATTCTCTAGAAGGAAACCGCCCTCTTCCTCCTGATAGAGCTACCAGACTAATGTAGGCCTGGAAAACTTGAGAGGGCCTGATTCCTTGATCTGTAACAATCTCTTCTTGATCCTGTGTCCAGCTTCTTTCAGAATATCGCTGGTTTGCGGCCATAGACAATAGTCCTGGAAAATAGGTCAGTCATACTCAAATCCACTGTGTCAGGAGGGACACGTACGTCTCGCACCAAGCATAGTTTGACTTCTTCTTCATCTCCCTCCTCATCTGCGCCCCAAGTACCGTCGCCTGTATCGGATCCCATCCCAGAATCTCCGTCATCAAGAACGTGGCAAATCCCTCCAGACTCTGATCAAAGGCCATATTGATGAGAAGCCCCGCGTGTTGGAGCTTCTCATCTTTCGGCCATCCGTGCATGGGTGTCTTGATCTTCCTCTCCACCACGTCGACGAACCCAGCTGCCTCCATGTTGTGCTTCATTGTGTGCCCCCGGGAGATTGAGAAGGACCGTCCCATCTTCTCTCCACCTTGGTCGAAAATTTGCCTCCATTCGTGGAAGATGTGATCGGGCGGGAGCTGTACGTGGTCGGACTGGATGTTGACGTCGAACTCTAGGTTCTGAACCCAGCCACCAGGCTTGAGGTGCCGGAAAGCTGACCGGTACAAGCTCACCCAGTCGGGTATGCTGCCGTAAAGACATCGCAGGTGGACGAAGTCAAAGTGATTCTCCGGCCACATCCAGTCGAGGAGGCAGTCATCCATGACGAACCGGAGGTTGGTAGGTACCCACGTCGGCTGAATAGGACTGATATCGGTGCCAAGAACCTCGGCATCGGGGTACTGGTCTGCAAAGTCGATTGCCCAAATCCCTGTCCCCGTGCCGACGTCCAGAACCCTTTGTGGGTTATCCCCAATTGGCGCCAGAAAGAGCTCGTCATCCAGAATCATTAACAGGGCATTGTGGATCATGTCCAGCCCGTCATTCTGCTGCTCGTCGTTCGGCGCCCAGTACTCCGTCGTCTTGCTGTTCTGGTACGTCCGGCCATGAAGCTTGCGGTAGTCAAAGATACTCTCGGACAGCGACGCCGTAGACGACACAATACTCTGGGCGTCGATCGCGGAGTCTGCATCGTCGTTGTCATCTCCACCATCTAGGTCCGGGTTCGGTTCAATCCGCGTATCTGCAGCTACTCCAGGCTGTGGATCGGCAGCAGGATCCCGAACAGACGGCCCCGTTCTCGAAGGCTGTGGATCAGCGGGAGGGCTTGGGATAGAAGCGGGAGGGCTTGGGATCGCCGGCTCCGTCCTCGAAGGACCCGTCGCCAGCTCGATGAACGCAGATGCCATGTCGTTCCACAGATATCGCCGTCAGGTTCTCGCACGGATGAACGCTGAAGAAGGATGGCAGGACGACACGTGGGGACGCAGAGGTAGCCGCAGAGATTTTCAGAGAAGCAGACGAGCAGGCACCAGGCTTCTTTCTGACCGAGATGAACGGTCTTTAAGAGGGGAGGGGTGTCATCGTACGAAAAGGACCGCCATGCGGTGAAACCTCGCGGTCCATCCCGTTTCGCTGCTCGATTCCTCACAAATAAAATCTCATCTCTCGCTTAGGCTAGAGGTGGCCGGCCAGTGACGTGCCTTTCAATGACGCAGCGGGCACAGAGACACGCCGTTCCGCCATGCACCCCGTTGAGGAGCGCGAAGGGCGGCGGGCGCTCTGTCTCAGTCTGCAGCCGACAGTTGAGGCGCTGCCAACGGTTGGAGCGAGATTAGGTTAATTGGGCGTCCCCTCAGCCAATGTGGAGGAAAAAGCAAAGAAAATAAAAAGGTGTCAAACGGCAGCAAACAACGTTGGCTCTCGATTGAGCGCGTATGTCGGGGTTGGGCTTCTACGCATCGTCATTCGCTGCGTGTCATGCATGCAACCGAGGCGTTTCTGCACTTCCTTTCGGACTCGGTTACTCCCCCGATGGCTCCGATCAATGCCAGCTGAAAACCCGGTTTTGGCGCGCCCATGGACTTGCTTGACTGGGCGATCGAGATGCACCGGTTAGGCCTACCCGGTCCTCGGGAAGCAGCGATTGGCAATCGAGGTTGGCGAGATGATGGCATCGAGAGCGCCCATGTCGGATCGCGCCTGCGGGTGGAGTCGAGCGGGTGGCCCTTGTGGGTGAGGGGCTGACGGGAGCGA